TGTACGGTACAGCAGAATACTAGTATTAGTATGTAGTATTTTCTATACTACAGTGTTAGAGGACAGCTCCCAATATCCCCACTGCTAATGGCTGGAACTGTTGTTCAAGGTTGGGGAGAGGCTGTTATATCATCTTAAAGCTTTCGACAAGCCTCAATCACTTCTACAAGAAAAAAGGCAACTGGCATTACTGCGTAAGAAATGGAGCGATACCTCAAAGCCCTGCAGGCGTCCCAGATTCATCATGTCATTGCAGCGCTTAGGAACAAGGCACATCAGCTCTACAGCTTTCTGTAAAAGAGAGGGAACAGAATAAATATGGGAAAGGATAAAAGACTGTCTGGTCCCGTTCTACTCTGACTAGGGCCACACATGGATCAACCCTTCCATACAGGCTAGAATCAGAAAATGGATATATTATGAAGAGATGGCCATTCCTCAAATTGACTTTTGAAAAAATGCAGCTTTCATCTGATCAAAATCCACTGATTACTTGAAAGAGCTTAGATAACATTTTGTTTGGAAAACAGACATTCTCAGAAACTGGTGGGTAACCATAACCTCATGCTTTGTTAGGAGATTGTCCACTTGCCAAGAAAAGAGTTAGGAAGGAAGGGGAAGAGAAGAGTTGGGGTATAGTAGGAACAAGAGTGGGGGAGGCTAAAGAAGCTGGCAGGATCATCTTCACCAAGTTTGACTTCTGGAAAATTAATGTCATGCCACTATGACAACGCTTTTGTAAACAGGCCAGCCTCTTCTTGGTAGTTATTTTATGAGAGCATGTACAATCTGCTTTCAACATTCTAATTGCATCCATCAAATCAAAAAGGTCAGAGCCCCTTCTTCTAAAATAAGAATACCAGATTATATAGTGATATAATTTGCTGCTCAAAAATACAAGCTTTATTCACTCATTTAAGTTTTAATTTACATATTTCATTTATCATTACTAAAAATAAATGCAACACAAAATAAGCATTTCAAGAATAAAGAAACAAGGACCTTAACTTCCTGTTTAATGATTTTAAAATTTATATTTGATTCATTATGTGCCATCAAGTTCTTGTAGTTTCTTAGCGACCACACAGATAGATTTTCTCCATAACAATTTGTCCCTAACCTGGTCTTTCAGGTAAAATTTATATAGAATTATATAAATTATATGATTATAATTTATAATCATATAGTATTGCTTGTTTTATATAAAACATATGTTCTTATTTGCATTCTTCCAATTTGTTCAATGAAAAATATCCAAATGACTTATAACTTAAACGTTTTTTTAAAAAGTATATCAATTACAAAACAGAATAAAAGGTAACAGATAAACTGTACCTCTGTCTCTGAGCACTCCAATCCAGCCTTTTCGCTGTATTTCAGGAAATCCTATGGGAAAGAATATCATTCTTTAAAAATGATTTACATTTAAATCCACTTTTAAAGATGAATAGCACTGTTTGTCTTCTTGCAGGATTATCTGGAATTCTACTTAAAACTATTTTATGTACAATACATACCATCCTGACGATATACTGAATAACATTTATGATTAAAATTAGATACTTGGTTTAGATTATGACACTCCATGTGCAATACAAGTCAGAGAAATAGCTTTGACTGTTAGCGTAATTGGCCATAGCCTTTCTTCTGTAAAAGAGATAGCTAACTCCAACGGAGAGGGAGGTTGAGAGTTGCAATTTTTTATATTAAAAATGTTGATATCCAGCCTAAGAACCATTAGAATTCTGAAATTCAGAGATGTAAAGGGGAGAGAGAGAGAGAGAGAGAGAGAGAGAGAGAGAGAGAGAGAGAAAGAGTTCCATAAAAGGGATGCCACCATCTTGATGGTGAAGACTTGATCCTAAATGACATTTACCTTGTGTGATTAAATAGGGGCACACTGATAAAGATTATAGCATCTAGCTACATTCATGTAGCAGTCACAGGCCATAAAGCTTTACTAGAATTATAAAAAACTTTCTATATGAATCCTTGTATGTGTACACTCTTAAAAAGTACACAGCCAAAGCCAGTAATTACCTAAATTTTATAACTGGTTCCAACAATAATTCATCATGATTGCCCACCAGGTGTTGGTAAGATTGCCTACACAGGCATGTATGCACATACAAAATACTTGGACTGCCTGGAGTCGGATGCAGGCTCAGCACCAGGACCAGCATGAAACACTCAGGAAGCAGTCCAGCAAATATCAAAAAATTTAACAGTTGATTTGCAAAAATTGGAGCAAACTGGCTAGTTAATACGGCTAGCTAAAACATGTAAACACAATATAAATTATACTTGGCTCACTGATGAATTTTTGGTATAAATCATATTTGCCAAACATTTTATGCAACCCTTTAGAACAGACAGAAAGCTATAGTTACTGTTTGTGCAACTATTTTAAATAGACCTTTTTAAGTCTATATATGTCTACACAGTATGTCTATAATACAAAATGCATTATTTTACAAATCATATTACAATCCAGGTATGTTATGTATTAATTAGGGCAAAGTAGTAACAGAAACTTAGGAATAAAAGCCTGTGTTATCTTCCAGCTTTAGCTGGAAAGCATCCTGCCAAACAACAACCTTATGAGTTTGCACACTTTACAAACCACTTCCTGAGCTTGTGAATAGCCTTAATGTAGCACACACCAAAAGGCATTGCACACATCCAGGGAATACTTTGATTTCACTTGCTAATAACTGTTTTTGTCTTTTGTGTTACGGATGGTACAGCTCTTTGGCTCTTATTATTTTGTTCTATATATGTATGGCTTTTGGTATATTTTACCTTGAGAAGCAACTGGTACTTGGTAATTCTTTGAATGGGCTTGATTAAGAAGTCGCTGAGAGTTAACCGCTGATTTATTTCTTGTTGCACCTCCTATAAAATGAAAGAAGGAGACATCATTGTTGAGAGAAAATAATTAATTTCTCCTTTGCTTTTTTCCACGGAACTCAAGAGAGCATATATGGGGTCCAATCAGGGCACTGAGCACATTTACAGTTTCTCAGATTCTGCAGGCTTTTTATGTTGTGCCTACAAAAATTAGTCTGAGGTTATGGAACATGTTACAATGAGTAGCCCATCATCTAAACACAAGAGGGAGCTTGGCATGTTTTGACATTACAAATCCTAATTCCAAAACTCGTGTAGTAGAACCTGGCACTTCCCTTACTATAACAGGCAGAGCGCAATTATTCAGAAAATGTCTAATAACATGCCTTGTCTCTTCTACATACGTCCATGTTTATCTAATCAATCATGAGTCTGCTTCAAAATAATGTAAAATGAATGGAGTATTTGATGTATATATAAGAAATTTAATCTTGCTTTTATACCACATTATTAGCAGTATTTGTCACTCAGAGCATTATATAACCCCAAAGTAATCCTAACTTGCAAGTAAAATTGAAAAAAGTATTACCAGAAATGTAATTTCTATATTAAAGTTTTAGAAAAAGTTTTAATTTGATTGAAAGTTAGGAACTAGTCAGTGTTAAGGAACTACTCTCTTCCGTTCCTTGCTCACTTTTTGCATTCTCCACCTCTGCCAGCTAAATATCTCAAACTCTTGCAAATGAAGCCAAGTATCACCCGAGAACAAATATGCACTGCTAAATATGAGGAAGCGTTTACTGAAAAAGCAAAGGGACGCGAGAGCAAAGCCAACAGCCCAAGCAGGGAGAAAGTTGCTGATATGGATCCAGGAGTATATACATGCAAATACAAGGAGAGAGAAGAAATCAGGCCTCATGTTTGAACTGCAGCACAGAACAGGCATCCTCTGCAGAACGCCAAACTTACCTCAAAATATGTACCACATTCAGCTACTATATATTCTGATTTTGGTTTGTTTTGACAGTACACCACGTACATGTGTAATCGTCTCTCCTGTAAGAAGTGAAACACACAGCTGACTTAGTATAATCCCATGTTACAACTTTCACAGCTATCTGGGCAGAGCTGGAAAATAAATTTAATCAGGCACTTGCTTCCCACATTTTTTCTGTCTGCTAATCGGATCAAAGAACGGTGGGAAAGCCTTAAAAATATTGAAGAAAACAAAAGAACAAAAGACTAGTTCATATACATACTAAGCTAGGAAAAGCATTCAGAGTCAAAGATGAGGCCACAAACCGAAAGCGACTATCTTAGAAGGATTCAATCTGAATCTGTTCCTGCTCCTTCTAGACCCTGACACCTCCAGGGACTGGGTAAGTACTTCTGCAATTGCCTATGTGGTGCAGGGCTGAGATATATAATTTAGCACCATCAGCATATTGCTGATACCTGACCCCATGCCAATGGATGATCTTTCCCAGTGATTTCACAAGAAGTGGGGAGAGCAGAGTGTCCTGCATCACTCTAACCAGAATCTCTGGGTGGACCTCTCTCTCTCTCTCTCTCTCACACACCCAGATTGGATCTGATCCCTTAGGAAAGAAGAGAACCATTGAAAAATGGTGCCCATCACTCCAATCCCTTGGAGCCAATCCAGAGATGATACCATGGTTGATGGCGCTGAAAGCCTTTGAGAGATCAAGAAGGACCAAGAGAGTTGGATTCCCTGTCTCTGTTTCTCCAAAGGTCATCTATAAGTGTGACCATGCAGTTTCCATACTGAACCGTGGATTGAACTCTGACTGTTACCAGTTCAGATAACCTTTTACAAAAAGATTCTAGAATGTAACTGAAGGTGTGTGTTCTGTTTTTATACATCTGTGTTATACTAATTTTTATTTCCTTGAAGACCACATACACAAAGCTCTAGTTATGTAGAAAAACCTAAACGTCATGTATAATCATTTTAGTTTTGGAAAGATGCAAGTTACATTTTCAGCAAAGATTCCCTTTTTATAATTTTATTTAAATCATAAGAAAATGCTAAGGAAAACACAGTATTTTTTGTATTATGACTGAAGTTAACATATTACTTATGTCCAGAAAAGAAAAACATATGAAATAGTGTAGTTTTATAACTTATGGAAAATCTGGATATCATGACCTAAAATATGTAATTCCTAGCCTTGTTTGATCTCTTTTAAAAATGATGCCATAAACTGAGCAAAACTGAGATACATTTAGGAGCTAATTTTCTTTTAAGAAAAGTCTGACTTGTAACTCACGTGTTTGATGAAGAGCTGTGCTAAACGGTCATGTTCCTGAAGGCACTTTTCCAGTTCAGCAAGAAAAAAACTGCAATATAAAACAGGCAACTATGCTCAAAATCTCTCTTCTCCCTCTTTCCCAATATCCCCCATTAACACATTATATGACTCTATAATTAGAAGATAAACTTGATGTTATGTCAGTTATCTCTGAAAAACCTAGTTTGTCTTATTTTGCTAATGTTAAGGAGAATTTTACTAATATCATGCACAAATGTACAATAAATGGCTATCTGAAACCACCCAAAATCTCCCTCCCAATATTAATACTCTCGCTATTTTCTTCTTTTACCCAATTTGGGCAGCTACTGGGGGAATCTAGGTAAATATATAGAAAAGTATAACTTGACTTTCATTATGAACTTACTATAGCAAGCAGAATGTTAACTGCTGCCATGAGGAAGAAGTATATTTATAAGGTAACTTTGCCTTACAAGGTAAAATAGTTAAATAAGAAAAGGAATACAGCAAAATGTTTGGGGGAAAAAGATTTCTAATTACTGCTTTATGGCCTTT